GAATCCGGGTACCCATCACAGACCGTGACAGAGAACCCCGGGTACCCATCACAGACCGTGACAGAGAACACCGGGTACCCATCACAGACCGTGACAGAGAACCCCGGGTACCCATCACAGACCGTGACAGAGAATCCGGGTACCCATCACAGACCGTGACAGAGAACCCCGGGTACCCATCACAGACCGTGACAGAGAACTCGGGTACCCATCACAGACCGTGACACAGAAACTGTAGTTGTAAAGTATCAGATATACGGTCAGCTACAAACGTGTCGTAAGGAAATGGAACAAAAGGATTTCCATTTAATTAGTAACAATAGGTCCATCGTGTTTCACATTTTTAATCCCGCAAGGGATTGCGCTAACAGCTTTTTTATGTTGTATTTAAAAGATTTAAATAAAACATTGGAAAAATAATAGTATATCAAGTATGTACTTAAAGAGCAGAAGGGTGTGGGTGTGGGTATGGGTGGGTGGGTGCGGGTGTGGGTGAGTGTGGCTGTGGCTGTGGGTGTGTCGGTGTTCTCAGTTTAGTTCTAACAAAGACACGCTCATACCCACACCCACACCTCCACCCACACCCACACCCTAGTTTTTTGCTTAGCTATTTGTTTAAGTTATTGACGGATATTTTAATATACTGACTTGTTTAATATTTAGATTAAGAGATAAATAAGATTTCTCATCATATCTATGGTTATTTATTATGAGCAAAGTTTATAATAATTGCTGATCATCCAATATCATCAGTAATTATTGAATATGATGAGACTTTCAAATACTTTCTTGTTACAGAATATGTAATGTCATTAGTAAAAATGAAGATGTTACTTGTTTCTCATTAGAATTTTACAGTTTGTATTCCATAAATTTAAAAAGAAAAATTCAATTGTCAAAGGTTTTTTTTTCGAAAACTCCTTCGATGTTTAAATTACTTGTAAGCTATGCAATTCTTAGAATAAGATATATTTAGTTAGACCTTCTTTAAAAACTTGAAATAACATGCACGAGACGTGGCAACAATGATATGTAATGAAATATACTTGGATATTTTCAAATTGACCAGAATTATGTGCTGATACATTTCAATGAAGAATTATTTTGTTTTACGTGTTATTTTTATTTAAAATTATTTCTTGAGCCATGTGAGAGGAATGTGATAAACAGTACATTTGGGCCTGTATCAACAGCTGAGCACATCATATTTTGTCCAGAACTATACAGCTAATGTAACACGAAGAAACTAAGTCAAAATAGTGTGAAAAAATAAACTATCTTATGAAAATTAAGATCACTCTCTTCTATTAAGCATGTGCTACATGTTCCGAATACATAGAATAAATATACTTTCACCTTAAGAATAAAGCATTATGATATCTCAACAAAATGCTATGACCATTCGTATTCCATAGTTTTTGCATGGAAAAATGTCTGTACTAGTATATTCAAAATTCAATTAATATGCAATAAAACATTGTGATATTTTTTAGTTGAATGGAAAAGGTTAGCGTCTTTGAAAGTGTCAGCAAACGCTAAGAAATTCGGTGTGTATGACAGCAATGATACATCACGCTTAATGCAAAATCTAATAATATTATATAAAGACAAAATTTTTAAATGAGAAATTTTATTGAGATTATATTAAAAATGAAGTTTTCGATCTTCACATGATCATTTTCAACCGAATAACAAGGGTGTATATATTAAAAAGAAAAACGAAAACTAGTACCATAATCAATTAAAACACGATAAACATTTAACAACATACACATTAATATTATAAATATTAGTATCATCATGCCGATTGAAAAACAAGCTTTGATGTTAACATATAAGAAATATCTAGGAAGCCTAATTTTTATAATTCATGTTCTGAGTTCTAATCAATACATAATAAGTGTTGAAAAAATGAAACTAACGGCATAAATTTCAATATTTATAAGGTAACATCAAGACTGTTTTTTCAATTGATATGATGACACTAATATCTACGATATTAATCTTTGTGTTGTAAAACGTTTATGGCGTTTCAATTGATTATGATACTAATTTTCAAATCCTTTTTTTTATATTGTTATAATTGATATACGGTTGAAAATGATAATATAAAGATCAAGAACTTCCGTTTTAATATAGTTATGATAGTACGATTTTTGTCTCATTTTATTAGATAAATAAAAATACAGATTAACTATTCAAGTCCACCTTAAAGATCAAATATCTACGAATAAGACTTAACTAAAGCAGTCATATGCATAAAAAAATGACAAATGGACAAATATAGATATAACATGGAATGCAATATGATGGGCGCAAATGAAAAAGGATAAGATACACATACTATTGTGTGTAGCGTGTGAGTGTAGCTTATCTTAACCCGTGGTAATTGTTCATGTTGTGCTAGCTTCTCATCGATTTACTAGTAGCACCTATGTCAGAAGACAACAATTATTGAAAAGACCTATTTTACTATAGTTCAACTTCACCGTTTATTCAAATTTTGGAAGCGTAAGTTTACGGGCTTCGCCGCCAAAGGGTTAAAGTAATGCTTGTAAAAATCTCCATATCTTACGAGAGCGTCCATGAGACTATAGCTCAAAACATTAAGGAGGGATTGCCGAAAAATTTTATTTTTTGAAATGAGTTTGCTAGTGTAAAAGAGCATAAAAAAGATGTTCAGAAACCTAAGTTTTGACAACTTTTGGACAATGTCTTCTAATACTTCGTCCACCTAATCGTTTTCACACACAATATCTGTTTATCAAAAACTATGGTTTTGCGATCATTTTTGTTTATGAATTTTTTCCTCATAAAAATTTGACCAAACCCATTATCAAATTATACCAATCGATAGAATGGAAGCTGTTCTACAAAATTCTAAATTTCACATACTCCATTAGGTACCTCATAAACCGAAAAGACCCATTATAATAGGTGAAATCGACCATTTTCTGGTCTATTTTACATGCTTTGTTTTATTCTTCTTGCTTCCGTTACGCAGTTAATTTTCGAGAGCCTAGAGTAAATTTTGTATAGTTTTGTACAGCGTCAAAAGGCGGATCTTTTAGTCAAAAATGTCGGTTATAAAGTATCAGCAACTTTCCGAAAAACCCACGACAATGTTGCTCAAAATACATAATTTTTAGTATTTTTGTTAGCTCTATACGTATAGAACGAAAGACAAGTAGTGTCACTGATGTTATGTGATAGAGCAAAGAAAAAGATGACCTTCGAGTGACTCGAAGCCACACCTTCTGCTATCCGGGCAGATATCCTAGGCCAGTTAGACTAGAAAGACCATCTTAGTCTTCGTTCAGCGTCAGTATGTATCATCACTGACGCTAACAATTTTCATGAAAATGTATGTATGGTTTTTTTTTTATTAAGAGACCGAATATTTTGGAGGAAGCTCAAAGTATTTGGTTTTAGACCATAAAAACGAGTCAAAAGAAGGTTATGACCGAGTTGAGAGTGTAAGTGTATGTGCCACTGTTTTGTTCCTCCACATCCACACTCAGCCCCCGCACACCTACATCCACCCTTGGTCAAAACCAAAAATACTGACTATCAAATCAACTCTAGATTAGTTCACTTGATATCCCATTGAGGTGGGAATCCAGCCGGACTGAGCATCCAGTCGGATTCGGTACCGAGGCGCACTGGTACTCAGTTGGGACTGGAACTGGTGTATACTTAATAATAAGCATCTACATGCTTTAGCTTATTTTATTTTACTTTACCTTACTTTTTCCTGTAAAGTAGAGATATTCACTTTACTTTACTCTACTTTACTTTTTCAAAATAGAATAAAGATAAAGTGCCAGCTCTATTCTTGATGATACTTCTTATAATCTTCTTGGTTTTGAAACAATTTGTTTTAAACATCCAAGACAGGCTGCCACTAAAACAACGTTATGGCTTACATATGCTGGTTTTATTTGAA